ATCAATTCTCACCAGGGAACCAGGGAGGCACAGCCTCACCTGCTCCATTTGCAGGGCGTCAGGGCTGGATTCAGTGGTTCCAGAAACCCAAACTACAGTGGCTTAAAAAGCACTTTTTGTTTTCACGTAACAAGGAGTCCAAAGAAGGAAGTCCCGGGCTCGTGCAGCTACTCAGGAAACCAGACATCTCTTCCCTTTCTCTACTGCCACCTGTCGTGAGTGGCTCCATTGTCACAAAATGTTTGTTGCACCACTGGGCAGCATCTCCACATTTCAGGCAGGAAGGGAGGCAAAGGACAAAAGATGCATGTCTATTGAGTTTCTCCCTTTTTATTTTTACTGGGAAACAATACGTTTCCTAAAAGCCCTACCCATTAGATTTCTGCTTGTCTCATTGACCAGAACTATGTCAAAATCCCAGCTACAAAGGAGCCTGGAAGCAGAGTTCTTTAACTGGGTACACGGCTACCCTAAACAAAATTGGGGTATGTATGTAGGAAGGACAAAGAGGATATTGGATATTGGACAGGCAACCAACATGGTCTGCCACTGGATATACCAGGTGTGAAATCTTTTTCAAAGTCTTTATATCTGGCTCTCTGCCATTAAGTGTACATACTTATTACTTTGGTTACTTTGCAATATTTCTGTTAGAGAATAGAGGAAACCATATATATTCTGAGCCCCAAATGGGAAAGCATATGTTGCAACTGGATGTCACCACTTGGGCCAATGTCTCAGATAAAAAGAGGGAAGCAGGTTGTCTTGTGTCCATGGCACTGGACTGTAGCAAAACCTCTCTCTACCCTCTGCTAAGAAGATGGGGGAGGGGTGTCTTGATTTCCTCTCCTCACTGCGCGTATTTCATTTTGGACTGAGGGCCAGCGGGTTGAGTTCTTCATACTCATCAGAGTTTACAGTGTATTATCACCACTGGTCTGCCAAATTGTCTCTCTCCCTCTGTCTCTCATTAATTTATGTGCCTTTAAAAAGCAATCCCCATTCCCTACTATTCTCCTTCTGATACCATAGGCAACTATTGTGATGTATTTAATATGTAGTTTGTCTTTTTTGTAAATGTTCTTGCATAATGTGCACTAAGGGCTCATACTTTTAGTTTATAGAAGTGGTATCGGGTCACACACTTCTTTCTGTTCCTTTCTCTTCTCATGCAGCATTGTGTTTTTAGGATCCATCCAGGTAGTGGACGTCCATCTAACCCAGTGCTTCTGATAGCTGCTCTATGTCCATCTAACCCAGTGCTTCTGATAGCTGCGTAATACCTCCCAGTGTACATCCACCACACTTTACCCATACACTCTGTTATGAGCTGAATTATGTTCTCCCAAAATTCATATGTTGAAACCCCAAACCTAGAACCTCAGAATATAATCATTTTTGGAGATAGGAATTTAATGAGGTAATTAAGTTTAAGCGAGATCATATGAGTGGGCTCTAATCCATGTATCTGGAGACAGGGCTTTTTTTTTTTTAATTTATTTATTTTTGGCTGCTTTGGGTCTTCATTGCTACAGGAAGGTGAGCGGGGGCTACTCTTCGTTGCGGTGCGTGGGCTTCTCATTGCAGTGGCTTCTGTTTGTGGCGGAGCACAGGCTCTAGGCACGCAGGCTTCAGTAGTTGTGGCTTGCGGGCCCTAGAGCACACGCTCAGTAGTTGTGGCACACGGGCTTAGTTGTTCTGCAGCATGTGGGATCTTCCTGGACCAGGGCTCGAACCCACGGATTCTTAACCACTGTGCCACCAGGGAAGTCCCTGGAGACAGGGCTTTCAAAGAGATGATTAAATCCAACTGAGACTGTTAGGTAAGGTTATAATCCAATATGATTGGTGTCCTTAAAGAAGAGAGAGAGACACCTGGGATGTATGTGCACTGAGAAAAGGCCATGTGAAGGCACAGAAAGAAGGCCGCCATCTGCAAGCCGAGGAGCAAGGGTTCAGGAAAAACCAAACCTGCCAACACTTTGATCTTGGACTTCCAGCCTCCATAGCCATGAGGAAATAAATGTCTGTTGTTTAAGCCACCGAGTCTATGGTGTTTTGTTATGGCAGCCCTAGCAATCCAATATACACTCTT